GACGTTGTCATTACAAAGATCAGGATGCACATATATTCTGCAATATATGTGCAGATGGGGAGAGAGCGGTCATTGTTTTATGCAGTACATGCACAAATCCAGGCAAATCCATTGTGGTTCCTTGTCTACATTGTTTTGGCTGTGGACAGGTAAAGCTTGTTCTGAACTCAGCGAAATGCTTCGTGGCAAACGATCCGTGGACTAGCGTCTCGTCGACATTTGTCGGATGCATCGTCTACCCCGCGTCAGGGTGCGACTATGTGCGACTGGTTTGGCAGGGACTGATGCCCCTGCGCAGTAGCAACACTACGGACTGATACATTGCCATGTGTTTCCTTTCAGTTCCGAGTAGCTTGATATTTGTGTGCGGTCACCTGGCCTTCCTGTGACCAATTCTGCACTGTGAAAAGGATTGAGCGTTGTACAACTGTTGTACATATGTATATACATATATATATATATATCTATGTGTGTGTGTGAATGTCACAAGGCTATATAAACGGTGTATAACGGATCCTATGGATGTTGTGACATATAGTGGCAATTTGCTGGGATGAAGAGGAGCCAACGCGATTGGGAACGGAAAGGGCAGCGTCGAAATGAGTGCTGGTGCACCACAGGGGCTGGGAATGTTGGGCAAATTATAGGTCAAGAGTTGCAGAGATTAAAGTGATTACTGAATACCGTCATGCACATTTGTTGATAATTAGACATATTCCATGCATGTATGCATTGATACCGGTACTGACATGGAAATTTCCATTTATATATATATACACATTGTTGTAAGAAGAGACATTCTGACATACTGTGCATGTGCCTGTGTGGTGTCATATAATGCCGGATAGTGTCAAAACGGTGCAAAGACAGTATCCCGTAAATTGCAGCATTGTGCATTGTTCAAACATCACTTCAAGCATCACACCATACGTGTAGATCTTCCGGTTTTAATTACGATAGAATGTGGTGCAAATTGAATTCAGAATTCAACATAGTTCAACCAGAAAGCTTGATAATTACTGTGGATGATGGAAGAAAATCCTGCACCACCTTGGATGGTTGAAAGCCTATGAAATTTATTGAAATTTGGGATAAAACACAATAAAACCACGTATCAACTGGTGGATTTCGCAACCATCCACTGTAAGGCCATTCCCTGTGACTGTTCCTGCACCTTGCCAGCCGTGAACAACAGCGGCCATGGCGTCTTCCGTAGCTTGAAGGGCCAGTGGTTGAAAACCGGGACAGCTTTGAGATGGGTGGCATTTCATGAGATTTCACGACATTTACAGGCAATGGATGAGTTTGGCGTTGATATGTATTGATTTTTGATGCCAAATCCAACATGGAAGACAAAGAGCTTGAATAATGTTTCGGAGTTTCATGAGATTTGGTGGTTTATGACGCAGTTTCTTTCACCTTCATTCAGACAGGGACTCGGGAGCTTTAGTGCTTCCGTTCTCGCGGCATCAATCTTCTGTGTTTTCTGTTGCGTGAGTGAAATGGATCATGTACTCAACCCGTGACTGCACAAAGAATCAACATGTGGAAACCTGTTTTGATATGTTTTGATACTATGAAGTCAGGCGGTTCTTCTAGATTCTAGGTTTTCGCGGAAACTACTTCTAACATGTCGGCAAGACACGCTGTCAGATTTGGATGATTTCGGGCGCAACCACTGACCATTGGCAACTGCCGCAAAGCTCTCAGATCTTTCAGAGCGCGGGGCACAAAAACGCGTAGCGACTTGTAGTGCTAAGGATTCGATACGAGGATGTCCAAAACTTGTGGAAGCACAATCCAGCAAGTAGTGGAACTTGATTCAACGTAAGTATGGAACTTGAAAAATGCAGTCCATTCCTTTTTGGTTTAATGGATAGATTTGGATAGAGTAAGCATGATTAAGTAAAAGCCATATTAAGTCATTGCTGGGTTCCATGTCACATGATCAAGTATATAGGTGAACCGAAAACATGACGTTGATGCTTCTGATCAGCTTACAGGGGTACAGCAACAGGTCTTTGATTTTGTTTGGGGGTACTATTTTGTCATTTCTCAATCATGAAGCACAACGACTTAAGGACTCGAAACCCCAGAAATGGCCGATTATTTCTTGCATGAAAGAATCAATGTGGTTAGCATCCAACAGCCGCAAGCAGAGCAGACATTTCATCCACTGGGGGTGGGTATTGATTGTTGAGCCCCCAGTAGGCCAACACGAATCAACATGAATCAACCATGTGGACCCATGTCGCCACCATCGTTAAATTTAGCAGATGTCCATATCTTTTTTAGTCCTGGTTAGTTTTCTGGAGGATAGCCTCGGGTGTCAAACATAGCAGTTTGAAATCCACTACAACTCGTTCTGGAAAAACCAAGTTGCCAATGGTGGCTTGTCATTATATATCATCATATTGCATATATATATATATACATGCATATATACGCACGCGCATTGCACATAATATATACATATATATATATACCTATGTATATATATATATATATTTACACCCTGATGTACCAATTATACCAATAGATTGTCCCATTAATATCCATTAATCTGTATGGCCCTATGAATTACCGGAGGGTAATCTGAATCATTTAGGGAACCCTTCGTCGTGGAGCTAGACTGCACCTGGCGAGGCTTGGGTGACACCAGCGCCATTTCAACGGGCTCGTGTGTCAGGGAAACCCTGTGTCGCTGATGCCCTTGACTGCGTGTCCGGCTGCTGGCGCTGATGATGATTATTTTATTAGTATTAGTGTTAGTATTATTATTATCAATTGTTATTAGTAGTAGCAGTAGCAGTAGCAGTAGCAGTAGCAGTAGCAGTAGCAGTAGGAGTAGGAGTAGTAGTAGTAGTAGTAGTAGTAGTAATTGTTGTTGTTGTTGTTGTCGTTGTTGTTGTTGTTGTTGTCGTCGTCGTCCTCGTCGTCGTATAGTCGTAGTAGTAGTAGTAGTAGTAGTCGTAGTAGTCGTAGTAGTAGCAGCAGTAGTAGCAGCAGTAGTAGCAGCAGCAGTAGCAGTAGTAAGTAGTAAGTAGTAACTAGTAGTAACTAGTAGTAACTAGTAGTAACTAGTAGTAACTAGTAGTAACTAGTAGTAACTAGCAGTAACTAGTAGTAACTAGTAGTAACTAGTAGTAACTAGCAGTAGTGTTATCATTAATATATCATTGGTATCAGCATTGATGATGATGATGATGATGATGATGATGATGATGGTCATGATGGTCATGATGATGATGATGATGATACTGTAATGACGATGATTGCGGCAGTTTGTCTTATCATTCTAGTTTGATGTCCTGAGATGTCGTGACATGATGGGTACAGGATATGGATTTTCCAATCACCTTGACTTGATTGGTTCTCCGGTTAGGCAATTTCATTCCTAGCTGAAAGTTACTCAGATGATTTTTTCAAAATATTGGATTGCTCACAGAAACCTCAAGCATCATTGGCTTTGATCATTGTTGCATTGAGTAAGCCATCACACATCATCACACATATTATTTTAAAAAAAACTGAGAAAGGGGTTTGGCATTGGATTCCTCGCATGTTTTTCAGATTCTCATAAACCCTACATGTGGGTGGCCTTGCACCTGAGGGCACAACGAGAAAGCTCAGCAGATGGGGGCAGTGGGGTGCCCAGAATCCTGGAACTTGATTTTGCCAATGGCCATTCCGTTGGAGGGATAATTTACAATGGGAAAAACCAAGGGTTTCCAAATCTAGGGAAATGGCCGTGTATCAAAAGGGGTATGTCCAGAAAATGACCATTTAACAGGAACGAACAAATATGAACCATGGGATTTTTTTTGTGGTACGGTACCTAAAGACAAAGCCACACTTTCAAGAAACCACCTATTTTGTGTGGAAAAAAATGCGGTTTCCCTCTGCAGTTTTCAGTGGATACTGGAGCAATATTCCGTCCTGATTTGTGTGCCCCCCCTCAAATGAATGCTCTACCCTTTTCAAAAGCTGTTCCCCAGATAAAATACGATCATACATTATCATACATTAAAGTAAATATTTCAATTGGTGACAATCCGACAATTGAAATTGAATAAAAACTGTTTTTGGCGGTTAACTTGTAGTACTTGTGAGGAAGAGAAAGAGAAAGAGGGAAAGAGAAAGAGAGAAAGAAAGAGGAAGAGAAAGAAAAAAGAGAGCGAGAAACAAAGAAAGAGAAGAGGAGCATGAAGAGGAAGAGAAAAGAGAGAGAGAGAGAGAGAAAGAAAGAAAGAAAGAAAGAACGAACGAAAGAAAGAAAGAAAGAAATAAAAAGAGACAGAGAAAGAAAAGAAAGAAAGAAAGAAAGAAAGAAAAAGAGACAGAGAAAGAGAAATCAACAAACACAATAAAAGAAAGAAAAGACAAGATCAAGAGACGGGTGCTTTTGGAAAAGTGTTCGTTCTTCTCTTGGCTCCAGGATCACCTCCGGAAAAGTTTGCAGTAATTCCGAACCTAGGCAACAAACCTACTGACTAAAGTGAACTGGACCCTCACATGGTCCAGTGCCCTGGAAATTTGTGAAAAAACATGAAAAAACTGTTCTTCAATAATTAAGGGTTTAATAGCGATCTGATTCTTTTGGGAAAGGTAGACAAGCAAGATTTTTCCAGAAAAAAACAGGATATTTTTCACACAACCTTTTTTTTTGGACAAGACAAATGGTTTGGCAAAAAATCTTGCAACAATGGTGAAAGTTCCAATCTAATCATGGGTTCTGAATAATTTGGAAATTTCTAGCCGCCATAATCAGGATGCAACATTATATCTGTTTGATTTCCATGTGTCGGCTATTTTGTAAGGCCCACTGGCGACCCAATTACGGTCCTTCAGAGCCCTAAACTGCAGATCACATATCCATAGATATCCCAAAAAATGAAACTGATACAGTATCATATATATATATGTCATATATCATATACATATATATATATATCATATATATATATATGTGAAACTATAACCACCATCCATACATCCCTTTACTGCAGTCACCGGTCACCGGTCGCCACAGCGCCATGACGTTGGAGCGCTTACCGGCGCTCGCCGGCGCCAGCGGCGCGTTCTCGGCGGGCGTCAAGGCGCATAAGGCCGGCGACCTGAAAGGCGCTGAGGACAGCGGTTTCGCCGTGGCATAGCTGGTTTTAATGGGATTAATAGGGAATTTATATGGGATTTATATGGGATAGCCATTATTATAACCATTAGAAACCACTGTTAAACGTTATTAACCATGATTCACCACTATAAACCATTAAACCATTATAACCAACTATTAACACATATTAACACAAAAAACTATTGAACATGGCCATTTATAATGGATTTACCTGATTTATCCATAAAAAAATGGTGATGTTCCATAGATTTTTGTATGTTTACCAGAGGGTAACATCATAGGGATTTCAACATGAAACATTGTGGAAGAATACGGAACATACTTAACATAGGAATCATAGGAGGTGATTGGATGTTGATGGGATTGGGAAATTTTTGCATGAGAGAGAACCATGAAAGTTGATGGTATCATGGGGATATTTTATGGGGATTTGTGATGATAGTGGAATATCAATATTGCACAATTATAAAGAGCAAGCACTGTGACATCACCGGGAATGATGGTTAAGGTTTCAGTAAACTATCCCACAAGTCCCACAATGACATTGTTTCATGTTGGTGAATGACTTTAATGTATCCAGAAAATGTCTGTTGTTGGAAAAGAAACTGAATCGTTATAGTATGCCCTGTAACCCAGCAAAAATCAGGATTTGATCCAGGCAAGATGAGGATATACAGTAACTATGACTGTAAGTTATGAGTGTAATATAACAACATGTTACACACTACTGTAACCATCAGTCATTGGTTGATCAATACTTATGGCTCCAAACACATTCTCAGACTGTGTTGTTGGCGTGGCTTTGGCGGTTCAAATGAAAACCTTCCCAGATGGTATTTGGAGCGTTAGGGATGGGAGTATGTGTGTATGACTATGATTATATGTGACTATATGAGGTTATATAACTACTATTAATTATTTAATAACGTAGACTTGAGATTTTTGGTTTGGGAAATTTTATGGGGCGCTTGAACTCACCATTTCCGCTGCTGCCACCAGGAGCTCTACCAAGAGGCGTTGCAGCGCTATGGCCAGGGCCAGAGCCTCTCAGATGCTGATGCTGCGGAGCTGCTGCATCTTCTGGGAGCGTTGAAGGCACCGTTTTAAACATGCGATACCGTGGATGGTTGCGAAATCCACCAGTTGATAGGTGGTAAACATCCCATGTTTTTTTTTGGGGGTTTCAACCATCCTTTTAAAGTGGCGCAGATTTCGCAACCATCCACGGTAGTATCGCATGTTTCTGTTAAACCCCCCAAAAAAGGTGGAGAAAGCAGTATGGATATGAGTCTGATATGATCTATACTGTCTTTGCCTGACTGTTTTGCGATCCCGTTGTCCAGGCACGAGTTTTAAGATATTTAATTGCAGTGAAGTGCTTATCGGGTGGTTTGTCCATGATGCTGATGCACATGAGTACGTATGAAAGCACTTAATTGAATGATTGGATGATTCACTAAATGACTGATTGAATGAGAAAATTGCAGATTGAGTTGACGGATGAGTTCAACTGATGACTGAAGGAGAACTTCAGATGAGATGTCGAAAGAACAGGTGAGTGACTGACTGGATTCGATAACCGACCGTTAAAAAAAGATTGTACACATGATTGGACCTTCTTTGAGTGAGCTATTCTCCAGACTACTTCTTCTTGAGCTATGAGCCAGCTCTCACCTCAACGACCTCTCCTTTAGAGCTACTTGCTCCTTCATCTTGCAGCTACCGCCATTTTTTCTTCTCACCCAGTCAGCAAAAGCCAAATCATGCCAATTCCATCAAATTATACAAAATCCATTCAAGTTCTCTCGCTATCATTATCACGCTCATTATTGTTATTGAATATCACCATTAGCATTTTCAGAACCTACTAAAATAAACATACATACACGCACTTACATCAATACACTTACATCAATACATATTTTAAAAGAGTACGCCCACCATTACCACTACTACCCATCACTATTATGTACATAGATTGTGACCTATCAATGGGTCATTATCATTGTGAATATATTTTTTGAATATTTTTATATTTTTATTACATTCATAATGTACTTCCTTTTCACTATTCAAACATAGTTATCATATGTGTTTCATTAATTAGCTTTGTAATTATCACCATTCCTCTACTCGACTTAAATTAAGATACAACTTGATCATCAACATTTCAATGAAGCTATTTTCCCTCTAATATGTCACTCTAATTGTCCCTCTTTCATTATTCATGGCTCCGCCCCTTTGAAAAGGTCCAAAAACTCGTCGGCAGCGACGACGACGACGACGAGTCCGCCGCGTCGCCGGCCGCCGCGGACGCGCTGCCGGCAGCGCTGGCGCTGCTGCGCAAGGCGCTGCTGCTGCTGCCGCAGGACGCGGCAGCGGTGCAGCGCGCCAGGCTGCAGCAGCTCAGCGCAGACTGTTGGGCCGTTGGGGTAGGGGATGGAAATGGCGGGAAGTGGATGGAAGCAATGGATTTGGACCTCCAAGTTTGATGGGTTATACGATTCAACCTTCATTTTTGATGGCTAAAACTAAAACCTCCAAGTTTGATGGCGAACACCTCCATGTTAAAGAGGTTGAACCTCTTTTTTGGTGGTCAAATAGTTAAGCATCCTTTTTTGTTGCTAACAACGGCCAGTTTTGATGGTTGAACCTGGCATGTCGTGGGAAATTCATGAAATGGGGATATCACATGATTGATTAATGGGAGGTATATAGTCAACAACATAACTTGGGTGTCTGAAAATAGTTTGTATCTCCTTCAGTTATGGCCGGCTCAATGTGATTGATAAGGAAAACAAAATGATGATTAAGCATCAACTTTATAGGGTAAGCTTATTTTCAGGCAACCCCCAGCGGAGGCAGACATGAACACAGTTTTGCCCAAGAATGGGATATGGCCATTATGGCCGAACGCACAGATTTGCATGGGGAGAATTGTTAAACCATGGGATCTGGGCATAGCCCAATTTCAGACAAGCCGGCAAAACCAACAAGAAGTTGGGTTTATCCAGTTACAATGTGGAATCAGTGGAATGTATGTTCTTGCTCCCCTGACAGAGATGGGTTGGCATTATATAATAGATGCTGGAAGATCATTGTATATTACCAGCGATCATGGGCAATGACCTGGATAAAACGCATCAGCAATCCGCTAGATGTAGAGCCAGCAATTTCCGGCAACCCAAGTTTCACCATTATCATTTGATATCATGTGTATCAATTGTCAGGGTTTGGTCATGAGATTCAACATCCAACATGATGCAAACGAGAAAACAGTGGATCCAGTCGGATTTGGGTAGCAAAAATGGTACACTAACTTTAAAAACGGGACACACTTTGGTTCTGCTGTTTGGCTCCACGTGACGCCCTGAAATGTGAAGCCGCCATGCGGCTGTTCCCAGTTGGAGGACTTGTTCAACCACTGTTCAATCATTGTTCAGCCATTATGTTCCTAGCTCCAAGTCCAGAAGCCTAGAAGCGAGACTCCCCAAGCTGCCCAAGCTGGAACGAAATCCGGGCAGTTGCAATGTAGGCCCCCCAGCTATGTTTGTTGGTTTTCCTATAGATAAGAGTATATAAGAGTATCATAAACCATGTTTATTGAAGTCAAACACCAACTTAGCTATTGTAAATCTTATATAAATCCCATGAAATCATGAAATCCCCGTTTTTCTTCATCAAATCACGATGTTCCTGTGCTTTCCTATGCGGGCTTTGGATCTATGGTTGACAGATCCAACAGCACCGGCACCATGTGGCACCTTGCAAGGTGTTCGCTGGGCACTGCCTTACTGCATGCGCCCAAGCTTCCTGGCTATGAAATGACCATATGACTCGGGCAATAATCATCCATAAACAAGCTCTCTTTGGGGTTCCTAGGGCACCAGGGTTTTGACTTATTGTGTTTTTTTATCGGACATTTCGAAAATTACTTTACTAAGAGTGATGCCCACCGTGACATTATTTTGACAGTTTGTGAGATCTCATGTGGAAGTATATATATGGCATATATTTTCTGACATTCTATTCTGGCATTCTATCTGGCATTCTATCTGACATTCTATTCTGACATTCTATCCTGGCATTATATCATATTATGTATATTTGATATCTATTCTGACATCTTATTTGGCATTCTACCTGGCATATATTCTGACATTCTCTGTGAAATGGCGCTGCAGGACATCAACCGCGAGCGCCAGATCTCAGTGGGCGCTCGGTTGAGGTCCAGCAGTGCCTGAGATCTGCAGCTCGCAGTGCCTCATAAAATCTAGACCCTCACCTGGCAGGTGGGGAAAAACATATGTACATGTAGAAGAACATGTGATATTATGTGATATTAGGTATATCTAATATGTCAAAGATATATGATATAAGCTCTTTTATATATCATA